TGGTTGTTTGTGGGTCCCCCAAGACTACTCTAGTAGGGGCCAGTCAGCTTGAGCCTAGACTGGTACCCCTGTGCAGATGTTTAGCACGGGTGAAATGGCTCCTCGCACAAGGTAGGAGGCAGGCGGTAGGCTAGAAGGTCGTGAGAGAGAGAGAGAGAGAAGGAGAGAGAGAAGAGAGAGAGAGAGAGAGAGAGAGAGAGAGAGAGAGAGAGAGCGGGAGAGAGAGAGAGAGAGAGAGAGAGAGAGAGAGAGAGAGAGAGAGGTAAGGTAAGGTAAACGTCTCCACACACACAAAGTGGTGGGGCAAGGGGGGGCGACCCTCGCATCTCCACGCCCGGGACACGGGCAGGAGCCCCACGGCATTCAAAGTGCAAGCACCGGCCCGGTGCCGTGGGTGAGCACAACCTGCACCCCACTCCCTCCCTCCCAGACACAGGACCCACACACAACCCCCACAGCGTGGTCGTCTACGTGTTCAGAAACACCAAGCAGCGAGGCGAGGGTGAAGGGGTAAGGGGCTGTGTGGGGCAGAATCTTCATCCGGCTTATCTGTGACTACTCCATCTAGCCTGGGGGGTCGCAGGAGGGGGGGGCAGAGGGTAAGATATGGGTTAGGCCAGCTACAAGTCGGACACCCTCCCCTCCTCGGAGCGGTCGGTGTCCTCGTCGTCGTCCTCGGTCTGCATCGCCTCGCCAGCCTTGAACCTAAACACGGCGTCGGCCGGCGCCGAGGCGCCGGCGGCCGTCATCAGGTGCATGACATATTTGTCGCGGCATGCCGCATCAATCTCTCCGTGCTCGGCCAGCTCGTTCGCGAGCCAGTCCGAGGCGACGGTCGTCGCCACGGTGCCCTGGGGGACCGTGGCGCACACCACGCTAGGGCCGCGCCGATATCCGTCGTCCCTCTCTGGGGGCAGCGAATAGGTGACCCGAGTCTTGGACCCCCGGTGCTGGCGATTTACTGGTATAGCCCCCCAGAACAATCAAACACTCTACGGCCAAAACAATCAAATGATGGTAAGATTTACCACGACTTCTGAGGCAAAAATCTGACAAAAATCGGAAAAATAAAAAAATACCCGGTATTTTCCAGGTATACCCGGATTTTCCCAGGTATACCCGCAAAATACCCGGTATGCCGGTATTTTGCCAATTTGGCTGAATTTGGCCGCAAACCAGCCTCAGACTCGGCTCAGATCCCGACAATTTGATGATTCCACGGAGTTTCGTAATTTACCATACCACTCTCTGCTCATACCATACCACTCCCTAGGAGAATCAAATAAGTGGTAAAAACCACTCATTTCCCAGTAAATCGCCAGCACTGTAGGACCCCGCCTGGCTGCGCGCCCGCGCAGCTGCAGACCGCAGCCCGTCCATCACGTACTCGATGTTCGCGCGTAGCTGCGCGCGCGGGCGCTCCGCGCGCTCGGCCTCGCTCGCGGCCGCGCGCTCGCCAGCCTCCTTCGCCCGGCGCTCCTTCTGCCGGTTCAGAGAGAGAGAGAGAGAGAGAGAGAGAGAGAGAGAGAGAGAGAGAGAGAGAGAGAGAGAGAGAGAGAGAGAGAGAGAGAGAGCTCCAGTGTCCAGCGCGCACAGCGGAGTAAGCAGTAACCAGACGGCGGCGACGGTGGCTAAGGCGGCGGTGAGGGGGTGGTGCTGGAGGGTGGGGCGGGGAGTCGTAGTCGTACGGCGACGGTGCTCGGTGCACGGTCTGGCGGCGCTGCCGCTGCGCGCTGGCGATGGCGGCGGCAGCGATGGCGGTGGTGGCGAGGGTGGCGGCGGCGAGGGCGGCGGTAGCGACGGAGGCGTCTGCCCCCCTCCCAGCGTGCCGAGCGCTTGAGTGTTGAGAGCATCCAAATAATACATGCAAAAATGAACCAGATCCAGCTCTGGCGAGAGCGGAGTGCGGAGAGGGAGTGCGGGCAGATTCCGAGATTGGCCGTGCGCGTGGGGAAGAGGGTACAGCGAGTGGAGGAGGAAGGTAGGAGAGGACACCACCTCGCTCGCAGAGCATTTGAGCGCGGTGCAGCACCGCAAGCACACGCCTTATGCTGGACCACGGTGCGGATTCTACTGCACGCGCGGCGCCGCCGCGAGCTCCGCCGACGCCGCCGTCGCCGCGGTGACGAGCGACGTGGCGTGCTGCGCCGCGGCGGCGGCCTACAGGAAGGCTCCGAGGAGGGCTCAGGGACGGTTCCGTCACGAGCGAGGAAGCGCGCTGCTGCGCCGCGGCGGCGGCCTGCATCGCGCCGAGCTTCTCGAGCAAGCCCTGCCTCCCCTTGACCTCGGCGAAGCAGACCGTCTCGCCGAAACGCGCCTTGAGATGGTCGCGCATGTCGTCGTACACGCCGTCGGCGAGGCCGAACTCGACGGCGCGCGCGCCCCCGTACACAGAGCCGTCGAAGAGCGCCGTGCGGCGATCGGCGCGAGACTTGTAGTCACCTAGTCTCGACACCTCCTCTCTGCCAACCTCGGCTGCGCTCGGGTAAGCTCGACTTGCGCTACGGCGCGCGGCTTGCGGTCGCCCGCGTGGAGGCCTCGCAACCTCCCCTGATCTGGGCTGATCTCGGCTCATCTCCCCTCATCTCGGCTGATCTCGGCTAATCTCGCCCGCGGCTCGGTGGTAGGTTGCCGCCTCGTAGTGCTTCAGCCGCGAGCCACGCGCGGCCTCGACCTTGGCCTTGAAGTCGGCGTGCAGCTCCTCGAGCAGCATCTCCTTCTTCCGGACCTCGACCGGGTCTCGTGCGCGGAGAGGGCTGTCCCCCGCCTTGGAGGTGCCTGCGGCGGTCGACCGCTCCCCGTCGGGGACTGGAGCTGTGCGCGGCGTCTGGGAGACTCTGGGAGGCGCGTCCTGGGGTGCGTCTGGATGGTGGGGGGCGAGTCTGGATGGGGTGGGTTTGAGGTGCGTCTGGAGATGTGGGAGATGTCTGGGAGGCGCGTCCGAGAGGTGGCGGCCGGGAGGCCTGCGGTGAGCGTGCGGTCCTCCACGCCCCACTTGCGGAGCAGCTCGACCAGCCCGACCGACGGCGAGACGACGCCGATCGAGCCGACGATGCTCGAGGGGAGGACAAAGATCTCGTCGCACGCGGAGGCGATGTAGTACCTGCAGCGAGGCGGCGCGTCGCTGGATAGCAGACGCCGCCGCGTACTCCGGGAGGCGGCGGCCGCACCCGCCCGACGCACAAACATCGGTTGTGTAGCAGAGCAGCTCGACGTCAGGGTGCTTCTTGCGCAGCTGCTGCAGCCGCGAGTGCAGCAGCGAGGACTGCGCAGGAGAGCCGCCGGGCGAGTTGAGCTCCAGGACAACGCACCGCGGCTCCACCTTGAAGGCCTGCTCCAGAACTGGCTCGAACGCTGAAAGGCTGATGGTCTGCCGCGCCCCGAGCCCGCCCGGCGCCGGCGCCGCGATCTGCCCGGACATCTTCACGACGCACACCAGCGGCGGCTTCTCCTCTTTCTCTGAGCCGCTGCCGCCGCCAGCCTCGCTCAGTTTTCGCTTGAGCTGCGTCATCACGAGCGGGTTGTCGGCGAGGTAGGAGGAGGCGGCGCTGGCGCCGACACCGATCGCGGCTCCCGTCGCGAGGCAGCGGACGCGGGCGAGCATTGTTGTGGGGGCCGGCGAGGGCTCGAGCAAAATACACAACCCCACGCGCGGGCGCTCTAAGCGCGAAGTGGCAAGTGGATGTACGAAAAAAAGAATTTTGTAACCCGAGACTGGCTCGGAGTGGCACTACAAAAGGCACGGCAGAAAGAATTTCGCATCCCGTGGACAGAAGAATCAAACCCCGTAGAGATCTATTATAGAAGAAAGAATTTTACAACAAAACTCTCTCGCACACGCACGATTCACACAACAGGCAAAGCGCGGACGACGGCTTCTAATAGAAGCCGTCGTCCTCACAGAAGCCGTCGTCGGATAGAAGAAAGAATTTTCAAAGCGCGGTTACACTCCAAGTGCTCCAAGTCTCTCGCACAACACTCACACCTGAAATTCAGTGACAATCGACTGTCACGCGGCCACTGGCACTAACGGTTAGGGCGACGGCAAGAGCTACACATCGCCACCAATTCACCCATACGGCTCACTCGTCGCTGTGCCAGGGATTCCGTAGCCCTTGCCGTCGCCCTTGCCCTTGCCCTTGCCCTTGCCCTTGCCCTTGCCCCTGCCCTTGCCCTGGCCCTGGCCCTTGCCGCCGTCACCCTTACCCCTCCCCTTCCCCTTCCCCCCGCCTTTGCCGCTTTCCTCGCTAAAGCGCGCCTTCTTGGCCGCCTGGCAGCCGCCGCAGCGACTTTTCTTGAAGTCGAAGCCCTTTGTCTTGAAAAAAAGCTGCTCGCCGACCGTGAAGATGAAGTCATTCCCGCAGTCTCGACACTGAAGGGTCTCATCCTCGGGATCGGGCGGCAGCACGAAAGTAGCGGCTTTGAAACCGCTGTCGGTGGCGGCGGCTGCCTCGGGCTGCACCGCTGCATCGACGTCGGCCGGAGCCGCGGCGGCCTTGGCGGCCTTGGCGGCTTTTTTTGCGAGCTTCTTCTTCTGCGCCACCTGCTGAGCGCCATATTTGCCTGCCTTGGCCGCTTTCTTGGCCGCCTTCTCCTCCTTTGACAGCTTCTTGATCGTCGAGTCTAGATCAGCCGGCATTTATGCCTATCTCTGGTCGGCGAGAGGCGCGCGAAGGACGCGCCGTGGTCGGCGAGACGCGCGAACGACGGAAAACGGAGGCAGCGTCCGTGGCAGTGTGGTCAGGGAGGCACGTGCGAGGCCAGGCGCGCGAGGAAAAAGAATTTGAGGAATCTCCGCGTTGAGCGTTTGTTTCATAACATCGAAGGCGAGCTCAAAAAGTACAACAAAAGGCGGTCGCGGGTGCCTCTTAGCTCCCCGGTCCTGGGCGTGCGGTTGATGACTGCACTCCAACGTCCAAGAGTGCTCCAAGTGCACAGCACGATTCACGCGACAGACAAGGCGCGGGCGACGGCTTCCTCAGAAGCCGTTCCCCCCACCACGCAGGAGCAGAAACAAAAACATTGTGTGAGTGTTAGAGTTGTTTGGTAATTTGAGGTTCGACTCTCTACTCTCTCTCTCTCTACTGTCTCTCTCTCACTCAATCATCTATCTCG